GGGGGGGGGGGGGGGAGGGTGTTTGTTAGTATCAACGTGAACTGGCTACGTACAGGGCAGAGGCACTGGGCTTGGCTATCTGATAAGACAGCCACATGCTCAGTTGAGACATGTCCAGGAACTTAGAGTCCTGGGGCCCTTCCCGCAGCTGGGACACCCCAGAGTTTGAGCCCCCACCCTGTTTACAGGCAGGACCCTGGGGGAGGGGTTCCCTGAGGGGTGGAGTCTGTGAACCTCTTCTGAGCCCGGGGTGGGGTGGGGAGGGGAGCGGGCCTATGTCTGCCTCACAGCCTGGGTGGGGCAGCACTTTGTAAACTTGTATTGACTGAGTGCCTCCCACACTCCAGGCCCTGAACCCCCAGCGGGTGTGGCAAGTGTCCAGGACTGGTGGGCAGTGCCTCCGGCCGCCCAGTCTGACAGCCCCTTCTCTCTTGCAGGTCAACACCTTCACGTCCTTCGTGTGCCCCATGGTGCTTATCTCGGTCCTGAACACCATCATTGCCAATAAGCTCACCGTCATGGCCCACCAGGCGGCTGTGCAGGGTGAAGTGTGCACAGCGGGGGACCCACACAGCACCTTCAGCATGTCCATGGAGCCCGGCAGGGTCCAGGCCCTGCGGCACGGTGTCCGTGTCTTACGTGCGTAGCCTCTGGACCCCTGGGGGGTGGCAAGCTTTAAAGACCTGGGGTGGGGCAGTCGGGTCCAAGACCCGGGGGGCCAGCTCCCCCCAGCGTGGGGGCTGCTCTTCGCTCTCTCCCTTCATTCACTCATTCATTCATTCACGTCTGCTGAGCACCAGCTCTGGGCCAGCCTCTTGCTCTCAGACGTGGGGGCAGCAGGGGCAGGGGTAGCCCTGCACTCTGGGGGCAGCAGGGTCCCACAGAGGCAGGGAATGCACACACCAGGTGCCTTCAGACAGAGGTGAGCATGAAGAGGCCATGAAGCCTCATGACTGGATCTGGCAGCCACGAGGGCTGCTCTGAGGAGGTGACATCCAGCCCAGCCCTTCAGGACTGAGCTGCAGGTAGAGGGACGGGATGATGCAAAGGCCCTCTGGTGGGAAGTGCTTGGCAGGAAAACTGGGGCAGAGGGGGCAGGCCTGGGACTTGTGGTCCCCACAGCCCTCAGGAAGGGACGGGTTTTGTTGCAGGTGTGATGGGAAAAGACTCAGAGATTGAAAACGTTTTATCTTGAGATCCACGTGCTGAGTTTGTGTTTGACCAAAGCATGAGGATTGGGCTCCATCCCAGTCCTGGCACATTCTCAGAGCTCATTCCAGGGCATGGCTGGGTCACAGGTAAAGCCCGGGGCTCTGGGGTCCCAACCTTCCCTGTTAATGTGAATCACCAGGGGCTTTGGACGCTGTGGTCACCAGCTGTCCAGTGCCATTGCTGAGGCCCAGGAGCAGCCTCTGCACAGTGATGGACATTCTAACAGGGAGTGCTGGAGACCAGCCCCCATCACGGGAGAGCATGGGTGGAGCTTACACGTGTGCCTGTCCTCCACAGTGTGTCCTGTCCCAGCCCCCTAGACCCCCCACCTTTTGCCTCCCACCAGCCCAGCAGCTCTCCCAGCTACCGAGAGAGAGTGCGCGAGGCCTGGTCCTGAGGAGGGGGCCTGAGGGGTGTAGTCAGAGGAGGCTGGGGCTGGGAGTAGAGAGGGGTGTCCCTGTCCCCAAGTGGAGCTATCCCTGGGGATGTCCTTGGTGGAGATGCTGTCAATGACACCTGCTGGAGCTACACCTGGGCTCAGGCACCTGGGAGCAGCTGTGTCTGTCATCCTGC